CGGACCGACCGGCCCGGCACGGCCCTGCCCTGCCCGGCTCTCCCACGGGGCGACTGCTGGCGCGTCGGGAGCCGGTCCCCCGGCTTTCGGCACAAGGAGAGGCGGGGGGGGAGCGCCCTGACCCGCGTTTCACCGGACGTGTACCGGCGCGGTGAGCGAGCGAGCGAGCGAGCGGGGGGCTGGACCCCGGGGCTGCGGCGGGGTGCAGGTAGAGTCCATTTCTGGGGCGGCTGCGAACTCCAGGAAGTCTGGGCTTACCTGCAACTAATTAAAGGAGCTTGCAAATGAATTATGGAGCATGACCTAAGTGATTTAAGAGGTGCCGGTCCTGATCTCACTCGAACTCAGAAGTAAATCCACTGAAGTTCACGAATTTACACCAGTGCACATTAGGTGTCAACAACAGCAGGATCAGACCAAGAAGCTTTCTTCTTGTCTGATATTAACGTAAGCTTTGTCGCCTAATACTTCTCTCTCTCTCTCAAAGGTCTTGCCTCCCTTCAGGCATCCTCCATCCCTTTAAAAAACACAACCACCACCACCACAGCCAAGCCTGCTTCTCCATTCTTTGCATTTATATAACCAGAAGAAACTCAACTAAAGACAGTTAAAATATACTGCTGTAAAACCAGCAAAAGAGAGGAGACTACAGAACCAACTTGATTCACAACTCAATGAATGAAAGAATGGAAGTAATGATGTTTGTGAGATATTCAGGTGTTAACAGAAGAAATAGCAATCTTTCTGAGCTAGTGGGCTGAACTTTAAAAGGTGAAGACAACCAAAATCTCTCTCTCTTTTAACTGTTTGACAAAATAAAACTTTCTAATACTGAAGCAGAAGAGGAAAGGAAAGGGGATGGAGAACAGAAAGCCAGAGAAATTATTACCTACAGAGAAGAGGGGACAAGAGAGCAATGCATCAGTTTCCCATTCATTAAGGATTCATCAGAAGTCTGCAAAAAGTTAAACTTTCTACGATCTGTCTAGGGTCCCTCTTTCCAAGACATTGCCTGCTCCAGCTGCTAGGTCAACCTAGGTACTGTGCCAAGCATATATCCCTGGAGGGAATCGCCTCTTCCATCAAAGCAATCTAAGCCATTTGGTTACAGGCACTGCTTAGGAGGAATAAGCTTTCTGTCAGCTGGAGAGTTGCCAAGATGCTGAGATCCATCCCAAAACAGTTCTGGGAAGCAATCTTTAAGAACATTTCCATTATCATATTACATTATATTATTTAATACAGTAGGAGCCCAGGTGACATTGAATGTGACTTCAGACCCTCCTGTTCAGTACTCTCTCACTGTTCACAGGAAAAGCTAACCACAAACTGCCGAATTTTCGTAAGCACACAGTTGATCTACATGCTGCAAAGAAATGAACGGCTCGGCATGCACCTGAACTGGTGACTGAACTAGTGACCTATATCACATCTTGCTATTATGAGGATTTCTGGTTTGACTTTTCTTATTGCCATTCTATTCACCTAATGGCAAACATCAACCAAATTTTAGCATTTACCCTAGGATGGGCAATATTGACTTGTGGGGTAACGACGACTTTGCTTCACACGAAAGAAAAAATAGCCTACAGAACACTGCACAACTCGAAGCAGATTTGTGCCACTGAGAGAAGGCACCAAAATTCAGCTGAGGTCTAGAAAGCCCCGAGATACTCTAATGCAAACTGGTGACATTTTCAGAGAACTAAAAAAAAAATGTTTGAGGTCACTTTTAGGAGTTTAATGAGTCCTTCTGGTCCTGTTTGGTTGGATATATAGGCCCATTCCTGCTCTGCAGGCAAAGATCTCTTGGCGCAGCTTGGCAGGCAGCGTATTGCAAAAATGGGATTAAGCCACACACGTGCTTCCCTTGCTGCTCCCGTTATTCAGACGTTGGGCCTTTATCAGCTACCAGCAACAGCAACAAACAGTGAGAACAGCCACAGATGACCTTGGGCTGTTGATAGCCCTTTTCCCAGTCAGACCCTACGCTACTGGCCAGGAGAAGCAGTCAACAGCACTGCCTCACTCAGAGGAATCTCCAGGACGCCCAAGGACAGAGCTGCCGTATCAGAACAGTGGGAAGTCTCACCTGTGGTAACAAAGACATCAGGCTTTGCTCATGTGTCCATACAGTTTTCCTATAGTGTGTTTCATGTAGAATTCCACAACAGTTAGATTACCATTTTAGCTGGAAAAAAGGCACAAAGCACTGAGTGGCATTTCACTTGTAATGAACTAGATAACTTACTCATATATTCACTATTTGCAAGTAAGGGGACCATCACAAACCTATGTTAATAAAACCTTTATGCCACACCATAGTCACCTCCATTTTCACATGCACACCAGCCCATCATCAACCGATCCATCAAACTGAAATTTTTAGATTCGTTTTTCTTCTGGTTTTAGGCTACCGTAAGTCACTCATCAATAGTGTTACTGTTATTTTACACTCCAACACAAGATCAACACATCCGAAACACACTCAGTTCCATATACACTAAGTTCCAACTTCACGGTTTTTACATTCCTACTTAGCTTCTGACAGTTTTATTCGGACCCACCCGAAACATAACAAGGAGGCTGCAAGAAAATATAAATACTGTAAAAATATTTGGCATAAAATATTGCCCCTAAGTGGGCATATTTTTAATGAGAGGTTGCCAACTGTTTGGACAGCCAACATTTAAATTTAAAAAAGGAAAGTAAGTTTTGACATAAAACTATTGGGGTAAAATCTGTAGCATTAACACAAGGCCTAAGCGTGCTGCCTCTATGGGGTTAGAGTGAGCAGGGCTTTAGAAGGCAGAATCTACCGCCTCACCTCCGGTCCCCTGTACAGAACTGCAGCTGGTCTCTGCCCAAGTAGAAGAAAAACAGTGTCATTTCTTTTCACTATATTGGGAAGCGTCACGTCTCAGAGATCATATTGCTGCCCTCCTGATCCACCTCTATGTCAAACATTTTTACTATTTTCATAATGCAAGTGCATTGATACTTTCTGTGAGGTGTCAAAAGTATTCCTGCTCACCCTGCAAAGCCTTGTTTTGGCTGATGATCTTTCAGTGTGGAAGAGTTTTTACCCTGTATTTATTGTCTCCTGCTTTCCTTTTTATCTTCTTAAGTCTTAGCGTAGAGTTGTTCTTTTCTGGAGGGAGGGAAAGTTAGGATCTTACTTACACATTCCTCAACTTTTGTGAATTGGAAAGTGAAACAAACTAGACACTGACATTGAAAGCCACAAATCTAATTTTGCTGTGGAGGGGAACATAAAAGACAAAGAGTTGTTAGTCTACCAGAAGCCACATGGTTTTTTTCAGCTTTAATATTCCCAGATATTTCCAGTGATATACAACTTTATTTTCTTCAAATACATTAATATTCAAAGGACCAGATTCATGTAGGTCTAAATATGACAGCATGCTCTGTGTGCTGTTAACGTAGCTTGTTACAGCAAAACAGGGCCCCACATGCACAGATATCCTGCAGCAGATTTGAAGTCTTAACCCCTTTTTATTTATTTAAAGCTGTGCAGGCATCTCTCATACACTGTTTCTTGTCAGCCCTCCTCCTCACTTTCTTTGATCTTTACCAATAGTTGGTGAGTTGAAGGAGGAGGGAAAGATATCAGAGTGTCAATGTTACAGACTCAACACCAGCCCTCTACAGACACATCACCAAAAATTTGAGGCAGTCAGCATAACAAAGATAACTGTGGAGCTACACGGTATAAAAATTGGTGCCAATGATTCATTCATTGCAACTTTGGGAATTGCATTCTTAAAAGGTGACCTCAATTATTTTTTTTATTTTTTTAAGCAAAATTCCCCTCTATAGCTACAGCAACAATTTTTGGAAGCCTTTAGGCTATCTTGATTTCAGGCCTGATTCTGACTTCCCAAAGTTTTAATTTGGTATTCACTATTCAGTTTTCTATGACATTACACGTGAATTACATCTATGCTGAGGTCTGGACTCAAGCCCCTTTATTTTTTAATGGGACGTTCCAATAAAATAAATATATTTTAACACTAGAGAGGAGTCTCTACTATTAAGAAGCACATTGAGGCCTCGATCTGAAGTTTTCAAAAGTTTGGGGAGACAGAAGTTGTTTAAGGTTCCAGATTCTGGTTCAAAACTGTCCCCAATTTAACAAACTGCTGAAAATCTATTTAGTGTGGTTGCTAGAAAATTCTTTATGTTATCATAGATTGTTCTTAAATTTCCCCAACGATAGAAAATAACGTTACGAACAAACTGCCTCAAAAGGAGAATGCTAATCTGTATGGTAGCCACTGCAGTACCACAGTAATAGTAGGAAAAGGAATCTAGTAATACAGATAGACACACGCTCTGAAGAACACGCATAGAGTAACTATGGTTGTC